GAGCAATTCCAAAGTAAGTTAAGACCCATAAAGATGGTATATTTTTTAAAAATTACTGCATAAATAGGCAAAGAGGTGTCAAAGATTCCACTTAAACCTGACCAACAAAAGTAAATTTTGTTTATAGATTATTGCTTTGTAAAAAAATATATTCTCTTAACAGTAGTATAACACATTATTAACAACATATAATAATGTGTCTTGTTCAACTTTATAAGAACCTTGCAGTTGGTAGACAATGGCCGAAGTTCAAATACAATTGGATTATCATGCCTTTCCCTATGCCTTAATGGTGATGTATGTATTGCTTAAAATTTCGAACCTATTGTTTATTATGCACGAGAGAGATTCGATATACGGAAATAGGAATCATACGTCAGAGTGCCTAGCTACGAAAGCAACCTCTCCCTCCCCGGTGAACGCGACAAATTTTCATTTACCAAGAGAAGAAGCCTTACATTTCTATATTAATAGCTGGAAAATGTAGCCTTTAGAAAAAGAAAAGCTGCGGAAAACAAAAATAACAAATCGTTTCAATGAATAGCGAACGTTTCTCTTTCTCAGGCCTTATACTAGCTTTCTATTTATTTATTTTTTTTTTCTTCGCTTCGGTTCAAGAAAGGTAGAGGTGAAGGTAGGGCGGGCACCTTAACTTATTGGAAAGTGTGTTGAAAATTTGTTTTTCTCAAAACAAGAAAACCACAAAAAAAATCCAATCCTAGTCACTAGGTAAAGCTCACTCCGTCAATGTGGTTCGATGCAATTAAGCGGGAGACAAAGTAATTCGATAAAATTTACACAAATTTTATAACAATCAGTAACGAAATTTGAAAACGGAAATGTAATAAATAAGTAAATGATATAACATTTTTTCTTATTCTTCTTTTATTCTATTTTAGAGGTTTTATGGAATTTGTTGAACTACTATCAGTGATCATCATTTTAGGAAGACGACATAACCAATAACAACAAACAAATAAACAAACAAATAAGCAAACAAACAATATTAAAACTATTAAAAGTAAATGATAACAAAACAGTAACAGCAGCAGCAGCAGCAACAACAACAGCAGCAGCAGAAGTTACAACAACAATAAAAAACGTCTCCAGCATTCAATGCCTGAAAGGACTTTGGCACCAGCATTAAGCGTAAACTTTAACAGAACTTGAAACTAATTGAAAATATCAAAATAATTATAAAAGAAAAGCAACGGAGGGGAAGCAAAGAAAATAAAAAAGTAATAGCAAGCAATGCTTTAGCATTCTTTTGAACTTCGTAACCAACCAAGTCAGCCAGCCAGTCAGCAGTAAATCAAACCGATAATCAATCTATTCAATACTACTGTGAATGCTATTCCTCAGCTGGCATTAGAAGCGAAAACGCAAAGCAAAAAAAAAAGAAGTATAGAGCGCAAGAGAGAAAGAGAAAGAAGGAGAAAGAACGAACGAGAATAAGTAAACGTTGGACTTCATCAATCTCTCATCATCACATCCTTACCGCCGTTCCATTGCTATTTAAAGTAATCAAATAAAGGTCAAAATAGTTCCAATTGATAGAATATTGACAAGCGCCCACGAATATACTCAAATAATTAATTATAAAAGTTTAATAGGTGAAAAAGAAATAAATAAATACAAGGCGAAAGGAGGAAGGAAAACAATTTCCGGAACATTTCAATCATTCAATATACGTAATAATTATTAATTACAATAATTAAAAATCATCTAAACAACCTGAGGCGGCTTCTAAGCAGCGTAAGCGGCTTTAAATTTAGTTAGTATGGAGTGCTGTTTGTCGGAAGAGGCCAAAGAACAGAAACGCATCAATCAAGAAATCGAACGCCAACTGCGTAGGGATAAACGTGATGCGCGAAGAGAACTCAAGCTTTTGCTATTGGGTAAGTTTTAACGTGCAAACGTAAGCATATTTATTTTTAAATAACCGAAGAAGAAGAAGAAAAATAATATATGTCTTTTTATTGCCATCCCCTCGAATTCCCTAAATAATCGATAAGAGTCAATCTTTCCCCAGATATTGAAAGATAATAAGAACACTTTTTAAATTTACAATTTTACTCCATTTTTTTTTACTCATTTTTTTTCTTTTCGATAAATTATGGTTTTGCCCAAAATCTGATGTTAAAACAGTAAAAACTTTGAAGGAGACCACGGTCTACCATTATATATCTCGCAGCGGCCTTCAATATAATGACTTTTCAAAACAACGCAGTATACGCGAAGTGGTCGAAAAATGGACGAAATGGGCCGAAACATTTTTGTGTACTAAATTCCATTAAAATATTTAAACTTTTCGAGCCTGTAGACACAAAAAAACAAAGCGGACAGATGGACAGACAAGCTTAAATCGATTTAACGTGTAATTCTGAATCGAGCGGTGTAGCAAAAGGTGATTCTATATCAAGCCCTTCCGGGTGTTAAATACATCCGCACAAACTTAACACACCCTTGTAACAAGTTCCTTTTTGGATTACTAGGACACTTTGGGTACCGTATTCACATTCCTTGAGTAAGTTTTGCAATATGCAGACATGCGCTGTTTTCACTAGTTTTGATCTCTTCGCCTTCATTGATTGAACCAGTTGTTCGCCTAATTTCTCATTCAGATGACGAAGTATGAGCATGTACTGCCCTGATTCGATTCTTCGATTTGACTATTAAATAGTTTCTCCCGCTTGGATTAATATTTTCTAAGCTTTGGATTACTACGAGTAGTCACTTTTTCATCGACTGTCGCCTTTCCTTCCTATAGAACTGGAAAAATAATCCTTCCCGACAACACACACATAAGTCGCGAGGAAGGCAAAAAAACGAACAAGATACTGTCGCCTTGATAGGAAGATGACGCGACATTATCCATCTAGCACAATCTTATCCAATCCTCTCTTGTTCTTCTCGTCTCTTTCTCTTGCCTTCTCTTGAAAATCCTACCAAACTTAATCACATATGCAGTAAATTGCAAACTGATGAACTTGATTTAAAATTTTTCGTCTTCTCGCCACTCGTTATGCAAAAATTTGCTCCTTTCTCTCGCAATTTGTTTGTTCAGGTGAATTGATGCAAAATTAAGGAACACTGAAATGGTTTGGACTTAACTTCATAGTATGCAGACATCGTCAGAAGTGTGTACTCCTTCAGATCAACATTTGAAACCTTAGCTATCTTACAATAGTAATCTTAGAAAGTAATAAGACGACGGATTAGGTCACTTAGGTGCAACGAAAGAAGAAACTTCAACTAATTGAAAAAAAATATATATATTAAATAAAGATAATAAAAACAAGTAAAAACACTAACCTACGTCAGCCTACTACTATTATATGGGAAGCAGTTGAAAAAGTGGTCCGATCCGAACCATTTTCAGTGGCATTTGTCGTTGACCCAAAACATGTTTGTGTACCATATGTTATTAATAAAATACCTTAGAACTAGCGGACTGTAGACTGAGCACATAATAAGGACAAGACGGACCGAGGGACAGACGTACTTAAAATGATTCAGAAACTGATCCCGAAACAAGTGATATAATAAACGATGGTTCAATCTCAAATGTTTTTTACCGCACAACACCACAAGTGGTGCAGAGTAATAAGAAAAAAAAATCCTCCTTACCTTCAGAAACGTCCAATTAGAACATTGTGTTCGTCAAAATGTTCTGCCTTAAGGGAGAGGAGGGATCGACTGCCTGTAGTGTAACTGAATATGACTCAGCTCTCATAAGTTAAGTTTACATCGATTTTTATTTAATTTCTTAATATTTGTGTGTTAATTGAATTTACTTACATATGTTATTGTTCCGTAGGGTGAGTACTAAACGTATGTACACAAAAGCACGCGTACACACACACACCCACACACACAACCGAATAAATGAATAAATTTATATATATTTTTACTGCAAGCGTTGATTTTGTTTTGGAAACCATAAGAGTGTATTTTTGTAAACATAAAATGAATCCAAGTTATTAAGCGATACATGTGTTATTATATATGCACTTAAGAATAAACCGAAATTATGTTTTTCGTTAAAAAAATGTTTTAGATAAATGAAAAAATAATAATAATAATAATAATAGAAATAAAATTGTATTCTTATTTATGCACAGGTACCGGTGAATCGGGTAAATCCACATTTATCAAACAGATGCGTATTATTCACGGAAGCGGTTATTCGGATGAAGATAAACGTGGTTATATAAAATTAGTCTTTCAAAATATATTCATGGCGATGCAGTCGATGATCAAAGCTATGGATATGTTACGAATTTCCTATGGCAAAGAAGAACATAGTGTATGTATATGTTTTACCTTTATGTTATATATATATATATATATATTTTTATTTTTTTTTTTTTTTTTTTTTTTTTGTGGAAATTTCAGGAACTTGCTGCCCTCATTATGAGCATTGATTACGAAACAGTAACTACATTTGAAGATCCATATTTGTCAGCCATTAAAACGTTATGGGATGATACGGGTATACAAGAGTGCTACGATCGACGAAGAGAATATCAATTGACAGATTCAGCTAAATAGTAAGTTATATCTTGACTTGAATGAATTCTTTCAAATTGGACAATTGGACGTTTATACTGATCTCTTCTCTCCATGCATATATATTATTATCATTTTAATTATATTATACTTTTCGATATAATAATCTCTTTAGTTATCTAATGGATCTTGATCGTGTGGCTCAACCTGACTATTTACCAACGGTGCAGGATATATTACGTGTTCGTGTGCCGACAACGGGGATCATTGAATATCCTTTCGATTTAGAAGAAATACGTTTTAGGTATATTCTATTTTCCTTCTCTTTCTACACTTTAATTATAACTTTGCCCTTATTTCTAACACTCGTCTTCTCAAGCATGTTTACGTTCTGTTCAAATTGTTAATTTTTCTTCGAAATTTGCATGTTTTATATATTTCAGAAGATTTCGTAAATAAAACTCTCTTTAGATATGGACTTCGAAATCTGAAACTAATGTTGCTGATAAATTAGGTTGAGGCATAAGTAATTTCCGATCCAGCTAGGTAGAATCCAATGTCCGTGTTTATCCACCATAAGTCACCGAAATAGGCGAGATATTATTTTCACTCTATAGATGAGATGATCCAGTTAGTCTTCTATCAAGTGTTTTATGTCGTGTATGTTACGTTCGAGCATTTTTCTTAAGCTCTGCAATGAAGAGTCAAAAAGTGAATATTTGACATGTAATGCTTTGGGAATTTAAACAAGGCCATAGCGTTAAGATGACAGCTGAAAAAATCTGCAGCGTATAAGGTGAAGAACTGACAACTGGTCGGGCAGCTAGAAATTGGTTTGCAAAATTCCGTTCTAGGGGTACGACCATAAAGGACAATCTTTTAAAGGCAATATTAGACCAAAATCCACGCCAATCAACAAGAGTTATAGCAAAACGGCTTACCTCACAATCAACTGTTAAATTAATATAATTTTTTGATTCAACGGAAACAAAATAAAAGTCTGATAAAAAAACGCAAGTTACTTATGACTCGACCTAATATAAAAGAAAAATTGCAACAAAAAATTATATATGTTTTCTTATGAGAAATGTAAAAAAACCAAGAGATATATATCGTATATCAAATTGAAAAAGCAACAGATTTATATCCCTCTTGGCTGGAATCGTTGCCATCTTCTACTTTAACCTAATAGATGAAAATTAAAACGTACTAAGACTATACTTATTTAGGCAAAACTATATTTTCTGTAGGTTGTCAGATGTGTTCAGATCAGATATTCACACCCAAAATATTGGTTACGTAAAAATTGCAAAGTGTTTTTTTTTTTTACCCATCACCAAAGGATGAGGGATATATTCATTTTGTCAAAACACTTGGAGGGAAGCATCATAGATCCCACAAAGTGTACACATACTCGATCAACATTAAATTCTAAGTCGCATGTCCGTCCGTCTATCTATGTGATGTGTGTTGTAAACGTTCTCCTGGCCGCAAAAATTAAGTTAAGGCATTGACTTGAAATTTAGCAGAACCATTGAAAGTTCTTGCACGTACACGATGGGCGAAATTGGTGGAAGAATATGTTCACGGTACCAAGTAAAATGAGAACACCTCTTTTGTTCGAAAGGAAAAAAAAAATTGAATTGTTGCTTATTACTCATAAACTGCAGTAGCTTAACGTACAAAAATTTGTATGCGCAATCTACGGGCTTTAGCACCTGTACAAAAAATCGCATATTTATGCGAATAAAAAGTGTGCATATAATTAGCTGGGATTCTGGGAGGTTTTCTTAACCACTGCAAATCCCTTGAAACCTATAAAAATGTTAATTCTTCATCGGCATATTATTCCTTCAAGGGATAAGAGATCTCTTTACGCCCAAATGGGATAATATTATTAGATTTTCTCAAAAGAAATGAAAATATTAACCTTTCTCACATGTGAAAGAAAGTAAGAGCGCCAAGCTATAAAAAAACACTTTTTGAAATTGCACAAATAAAGTGAAGGCTCGCTTCGCTTTTATACCCTACACCCGCTGGGAGTACAAGAGTATATTGTGCGAATGTGCACAATAACCAAAACCGTTTGAGATCGGTCCACTTCTTATTATACCGATCACTTTCTGAATCGATTTTAACTCGTCTGTCCATCTTCTTCTCTTGTGTTCAACCTTCGGTTCCCAAATTTTAAGGTATTTTGATGAAATTTAATGCGCCAACATCTTTTGGCCCAAGGACAAACGTTAATGAAAATACACCACTTTTCGATCGTTCCCCACGTAAAGTCGTATTTTTAAAAGTGGTTATGCGGTGAATAACTGTACTAAACGAAGTCGTGTAGGATACTTAATAGAATGCTGCATTTCCCTATAGTGTTTTCACTTGTTTTGCTTTTAGAAATGGACAAAAAATTTCTTTGCTTTTTACAAAATGAAAAAAATGACGATATTCCTATTATATGCTCGATTTTAAAGACAACAACACATCTACGATATTAAGGGATTCTTTTCATCATCTGGTTATTTTCTTAATTTTAATTTTTTCATTGTGACTGGACGGTCTCTTCGAAAGAGAATTTTTCTAATATTACGGGAAATAGATTTAAATTTTATTAAAATTATTTAATTTAGCTATTTAAGTGATCTACCACGTATCGAGCTACCAGATTATTTACCGACTGAACAAGATATTCTGCGTGCTCGTGTTCCTACTACCGGTATACTCGAATATCCATTCGATTTGGATGGCATTGTGTTTAGGTATTTTTTTTCACATTTTCGAAATCCCATCTTTTAAGATAAAATGTATGACGCTCTGCTAGGATTTATATGCTAGAGAAAGTAAAAAAAAAAAAAAACAATCGCTTCAAATCTCCCATTATTGTCATTGAAATTGTAGAGAAATTTGAAAGTAAAAAATGCTTTTTATGTGTTTGTTAAAATTTCAAGCCTGTGTTGTTAAATTAAATTAATTTTTCATATTTTTCTTAAAAAAAAAAATTAATTATTTCAATTAAAAAAAAATTTTCAATATTCAATAGAATGGTAGACGTAGGCGGCCAGCGTTCGGAGAGAAGAAAATGGATTCATTGCTTTGAAAACGTAACATCCATTATATTTTTGGTTGCCCTATCGGAATATGATCAAATTTTATTCGAATCTGATAACGAGGTTTGCATTAAGAGAATCAATTAATTTCTTTTACGTTCTTTTTTCAATTTACGCAATTTTCTTTCTTCTATTCGAACAGAATCGTATGGAAGAATCAAAAGCTTTATTTAGAACTATAATTACGTATCCATGGTTCCAAAACTCATCCGTTATTCTTTTCTTAAATAAGAAAGACTTGTTAGAAGAAAAAATTATGTATTCGCATTTGGTGGACTATTTTCCTGAATACGATGGTAAGTTTTCTTTGCTATTGCTTTCTTAATGAAAGTTGTTTTTTTTTTTTGGTTATTGTTTAATGAGAAACTTAAAAAATAATCATTGCAAAAGGTCCTAAATGCGATCACGCTGCCGCCAAACAGTTTGTATTAAAAAAATATTTAGCAGCAAATCCTGATCCTGATCGTCAATGTTACTCTCATTTTACTACAGCCACAGGTTAATTTTATTTATCTATTAAAAAAAATAAGAAAAATGTTTTCGCTTTAAAAGCGAAACATTTTGTACCCACCAGCGTAAAAACTTATTGTAGAATTTTTTCAAAACATATGTCCATGAGAAGTGGACGCCATGTCTGCTCACTTTCGACAACAACATATAATGACAAGGATTTTTCATGCGAGGTATGACAATATGGTGACACACGTCAAAGTCAAATTGGCAGTTAGTCAAGTGGACAGCAATCGGCGAAAACCGTCCATATGAGCAGTGTCACTAAAACAACTGTAACTTGTAAATATCATAAAATCTTGATAGGTATCGTTTGAAGGTTGCTACTATCCACAAATCGTACGGGTCTGTCAAGAGTGTTGGCACATATTGCCAGAACAGAGACTTATTGAGTGATGTGATTTGACAAAAAACCTAATCTTGCGTTTAGGTGCACGCACACGTCCAATTTCAGATGATTTCTTACTTTTTAGGCCATAAATCATTTAGAAATATATATATGAAAAGTTGCTATAGTTGTATGAATTTCAGAGAGTGGATTCCGGATGTTCATCTGCGAGCTTGATTGTTGAAATTGTAACAAATTTTGAAATTTTGACAGACTATTATTTCTCGACATGTTGGGTACAAAAGTAAAATTTGAAAAATTTATTGCAGATCAGCGTGAAGTAGTAAAATCATGAGATCTTCATATTAAATAATTAAGTGTGCAGAGCTTTTATTTTCTCTTTCCTTTTATGGGAAAATTATCGCTATAACGTGTGTGACATTAGAAAAATGCTTTTATTTATTTTTTATTATATGCTGCTATTTGTTGTTGTACATTATAGATAATATATTCCTTAAAAATTTGCTTATAGGTCCACAAAGAGACGCTATAGCCGCCCGTGAGTTTATATTGCGTATGTTTGTAGATTTAAATCCCGATTCTGAAAAAATCATTTATTCTCATTTTACATGTGCTACAGGTAAGTGAAGAAGAAATTCCCGAAGAATTCTTACACCACATACCCATTACACACTGTTTTTTTTTTTTTTTTTTTTTTTGTACAAAAAAAGTTCTTTTAAAGATGATCTCTGTGCACCTCGAATTTGAAAATTCTCTGTGGTAAGGCGTATAATAAGGGAATATTTATTTTATTTTACAAATGCTTTCTACAGTAGTTTACGGTTACTTTGTCCTTCATTTACATTTCGCCAGAAATTGCTTTTATGGCAGTAGTATTGTTGCTCGTCGGTAATCATTTTTCTTTTTATATGATATGAAATAATTTAATGTTTGTCCTTATCTTCACTTTTTTACTCTGCGTGAATTCTGGAATTCGTATGCTGTTTGTGTATGTCGCTCTTTAAAACAGATACTGAAAATATTAAACTTGTATTTTGCGCCGTCAAGGATACCATTATGCAAAATGCTCTTAAGGAATTCAATTTGGGTTAAGTATTTTCTGGTTTCCTTTTTCTACTTTTACTCACCGCCACTTCAATTGTCCACTATGACTCATTCTAAGTAATCATTGGCTAATTTATGAAAATGAAATTATATCAAATTAGTAAAAAAAAAAAAAAAAAAAAAAAAAAATTTAATTATTCTAAAATATATCCTATGTACTATATGACCAAGAAGAAAACAAGGAATAATAAATGCATTAAAATTTGTCTATTGTTTTATTCATAAAAAAAAATAATAATAATAAAAACGCTACGCTCAACGCTCAAATGTTAATCAGTTCAGTGCAACTGTTTCGCTGTCTTTGGAAAGCGATTCGCAAGTTGAACGCCAATATGTACTTGACTAGGTAGCTGTGTTACATATTCGATATTTAAGTAAGCCTCCCTTTTATTTCGACTTGGCCTCACCTTCAATATTTCAAACATGTCGAATGCATTTGAGTTTGCGCATAAATTGTCGCTAATTACTACTCATGACGGATATACTCGTCTTACCCTTGTTTATACTTTTCTCATGACCTGTATACTTATGAGCAGTTAATTGGTTCATTTCACGTCCGCTATGTTTTCGTAATTTCCCTAGTATGCATCCAATGTAAGGCACGATTTTTGAATTCTTTTTCTTCTAACAACAATCATTCTTCTCTGCCTAATGTATGCCATTTCCATCGTATTATATCTATCCCCTGTGCTTCTTCGGCAGCTAACCATTCCGCAACCTTTGCAAGTGCATAGTACAGTCATTTCTGACGTAACGTTAACCAACTAAATTTGTTTTCTTGAGTCTACGACGTTCAAAGTTATTTTATGCTTCATTTCTTGAATTCTTTCTTTATCGCATGCGAGTGCAATTTCGTATTGAACATTAATAACTGCCTCTACTTTAGGCAACATAACCTACTTAACTTGGAGACGATGTCAAATTTTCCCTTTAGATTGATAGTTCTCGTTAACAGGAATTGAGTTGTATTGTTCTACAAGCACTTATGATATCACAAATAGTCGTTTATGTAAATATAACGAATGAGAAAGCCAGCTCGATAAGAAAGAGTGCCATCAACTTCAAATGCGATCGTATCGTGTTAGATAGCTCGACTGTAAACCGGCCCCTGATTTTTTTATTTGCACATATTGCAAGTTTTGGCTATTGAATCGCTTTGGTAAGACTCAGTGGGCGTAGATAATACAATCCACTGTTTTTGTTTTGCTAATTGCTTGGTGTTCACGCCGGGCAAGTTTCGGAACTTGATTCCATTTAATGGTTAGAAGCGTTATTTTCTTGATAAAATTGGATAACCCATGGAATAACCCATTAGAATTGTTTTGCTCAGGGTTTACTGTGCAGGCACGTAGAAGTCTCAGGCATCTGGAAGATGTTTACATATACGTCGCTCAAGTAATGCAGCCTATTGGTATCGCGGCAATCAGCAATTAGTATGTCTTGTATGTTGATATTAATCTGTATTCAACTAGGGCTTGGATTGTGGATATGGATGTGTGAAATCTGAACATTATCATTACGAGATGTACAGGTCTATTATCTCTATTTGAAAGACCCAACAATTGCCAACGCCGTGAATGGGATTCAGTCGTTGAATGCCGATCTTCGTTGTTCAATCCATTCCCCAAGTTGCTGCAAGGGAGATGGAATCCTGAACTAGGGAGCAGTGCTTAAAAAATTTATCAGTAATGGACTTTTGTAAAATATTAATACAATCTCTAGTAGTTTTCATCATGGCTTATTTCCTTGTGGAAAAGTGCCTTATTCAGTGCAAAAAGTTAATGGTATCGCCATCGACAGGCATGTAAATATAGGAATTAACCTTTAAAAACAAATAAAAACTGACGTTGTCTAGTATGTCCACCGCTTTTGGTTGTCCACTGTTTTCAGCATAATCGGCTTTCTTAAGGCGTCGGCTTTCTTATGGCCTCGAGAAGAGTTGCCATTACGCAGTTCAAGTTTATGTTCGAATAGTGATTTTGAGAGCTTATAGTATCTTCAAGATCTTTATCGGTCAAAGATCATGAGCGGATCATGAGAATCAGGTGTCCACAGAAACATCGGTCCACGTAGGAACATCTTTCGCTCAGAACTACTGATGGCAGAATTTTTGCGCGGAGAATGACTCCGGAACACAGGTGGATCGCTTTTTGAATAATGTGATCTCCCAATTGACGGGGACTGTTTGTCTCACTAATGGGCGCCGGGTACTGTTTCCTATTTAACCCCTGTGTTATCGGAAACCATAGAATTATACTTTTGTGTGCGGATATAAACAAACTGAGACAGCTGTACTGGGAGATACTGATACCAAAGTCGGTTCTCGGTTTTCCGTTTGTGATTAATAATAATGTTTTCTTTTTCCAAAGACCTACTGACGCCGAAGAACTAGGGAAGTCGATTGCGTTTGGCTCCTTTCTAATGTCGCGTACAGGCCCTAATACTCCCTGCATTTTTCAAGCTTCACTGCTTTCATCGAAACATTATTAAAAGGCTATTCAAACTGCTTATCTCTGCTCCTTAAATTAAATTTTCGTGTCCCCTCTGCTAACCAAAGATGTGTTCATTGAATCTTTGCATGATTCAGATCTATATCTCTAAAATTTTTTCAAAGATATCCCTTTCTTAAAGAGAGTATGCACGTGGCTTGGAGGATTCCAACTCGTAGACCGGAAATAGACGATCTAACCTAAAGTAAATGAAAAATTGATTTCAATGCACGCAAGGTATCCGTAATAATCAAGCGCTCGCTGAAAAGTTTGACTTATAATAATTTGTAAACAAGGAGGTGACAAACATATGTGAATTTTGTTCTGTAAAAATATGCCTACCGAGGTCATTTGCATTTTAACATACGCTGCTTGCAGACATGTTCTGGCGTCCAGTGACCGGTCATTAGCCGTTAACGCGGACAATGCTTCTTCTTGTCTAATTTTTCAACTCTTGTTTTTGGGTATTTCGGAGCAGTAGTCAAAATGAGACTCTCTCTGATACCAATTTTCATATACAACAAGCAACTCTGGTCACTGTGCTCACGAAAACCACAAAAATGCTTACAATGTTTAAGACTCACTTGTGACATATCTGCGATGATTCAACCGTTCTATTTCGGTTAAGAAATGCAAAACGTTTATGCGGCTACGGTTAATGTAACTATTGCTGGTGGCTATTCCTGCACGCATGCCCTAAAAAACTGTAAATTGTTCGGATCTGTCTAAAGATTACTCTACAACAAATATTGATAAGAAAGAATGATAATTGAAATAGTTCACCATCTGTGTGCTTTTTTCGACATTTCATCGTTAACCACTTTAAGGAAATCCAATTTTGGTCAAATATAGCTCATTATGAACAATAAATAGGACGCGCCTGAGAGGCTATTTTCTACCTTCGTTAAGGCGAATGCAATTTATTTTTTATACCCTATATCACTTGTAATGCATATATAGGGGTACATAAAGTTTGTGTAGATGTATCCAATACTCAGAAGGCCTTGAGATAAAGGCACATCTCATTACACCGATCTAATATACATTCTGAATCAAATAACTTTTTGCATCGATCTAAGCTTATCTATTCATCTGCCTATATTGTTTTCTTATGTGTTACGTACAGGGCGCAAAGTTTTGAAATATTTTGATTAAATTCGATAAACTGATATGTGTTCACCCAACGACGAGTTCTATTGAAATCGGATAGCTGGATCGGAACGTTTTTTCGACCACTTCCAACAAGACGCTTTGTTTTAAAAAGTTACATGAGCAACGGTAGAGCCGTACACATTTCACTTGTTTTTCTTTTTTTTTTAGGTCTATGTCTTTACCACCGAAAGTTAGCTTTACAATTAAAAAGTCGAAAGGATTACATCAAACAGAAGAAATTTCTATAGATAGACCCTACAAAGTAATTACATTCTTGGTCAGTATGAAAATACGAATCGCATGTCTAATGCGTCCGTCTGCAGCATCATGTGTCGTAAACATTCCTTTTTGGCAAAATTTTATAAAATTCGGAAGTTCTTGCACGCCCGTTGATATTGAAGGTGAATGAAAAACCACATGTAGTACATCATAAGCCGAGGTGCACGCAGGTTAATTATTGAAAATCGGCCAGGCCAAATTGATCAAAATACAAAAAAAAAAAAAAGTTTTTTGCTCATCGTGCCCTAAATTCTAGGGGAAGATAATTGCATTTTTTTTCACCTTCTCCGAGATAAAAGCGGTCGCTGTCAATAGTTTGGCCACTAGCAAATATTCTTTTCTTATTTGTTCCTTTTTTTTTTTTTTTTGTTTTTCCAATTTTCTTTTCCCTTTTTCAATGACTTATTATTAACAATGTATTTCATTTTGATTTAGATACGGAAAATATACGATTTGTGTTTGCAGCTGTTAAGGATACTATACTCCAATCAAATCTAAAGGAATACAATTTGGTCTAAACTGGACTTTAGATCGTCGTCAAGATAAACCGAGAGCAAGAAAAACGAAGAGAGAAACACCCAAACGTTTTTTGTGATTTTTATTATATTATTCATAATTCCTTTTTTATATGTATGCATAAACAAGAAAAAAGAATAATAAAACCATAAAAGCATATAAGTCAAACAACAACAGTTTAAGAGAAACATAAATAAAAATAAGTATATTTAAAAAGAAAGCAGTTGACAAAAAGAAAGAGAAGATTCCGTATGAAATGTCAAAATACGCACTTAAAAATGAACAAAAAAAAAAACAAAAAAAAAAAACAAAGAGCAACTTTTTATAATTTGATAATAATACAAGATACAGAAGCAAAAGAAGACGAAGACGAAGAAAAAGAAACCAATACTAATTAAATTAATGATAAATGAAATATAAAAAAAAGGAAGATTTTTTGTAACGCTAATTATAACAGAATATATACTTTATATATACAAATAAAAAAGAAAAAGAGAAAAAAACAAAACACAGCAAGCAAGCAACCACACAGAAATAGGGGAAAAAAGTATACTTAAAAGCAATTGAAAAGTAGTAAAACAATACCGGAGAAGTAGACATACATAGCTGAGAAGTTGGCTTTCGCCTTCGCATAGATACGTTCGGTCGTTTTCGACAAACAGGTGAATACAGCGACGAAAGCCAAATTTTTCATATGTGCTTACCCCCCACCCCGAAGTTTTGGCAACCAAAACAGACTCTGATAGATAAGTAATTTTTTTTTTCTCTTTTTCTCTTACAGCACTCAAATACAAATGCAAATACAAATACTATTACATCTGCGAGAGTAAAAATAGCAATAAACGTAAAATTGGCATTATAACATTAAAAAAAAAAAAAACACTCTTCATTGGAAATACGGCTATTTTCTCCAACACATAAATACAAAAATGAAAAAGAAAACTCGGAAAATTAAAGGAAACGCTAAAACAAAAGCGCAACTACTACTAGCGATCGATCGATTTGTACGTGTGTAATAAACTGAAAAATTATTATAAATTAATAAATTATTATATAGTAATAGTGATTTCTCTATTAAAAAATAAATAAATAATAAAAATAAATAAATAAAAAGAAATACAATAAATAAATAAATGCAAGAAAAAAAAGAAAAATTTCTAAAAACAAAAAAAAAAAAAAACAAAAAAAAAACAATAACAAATTTCAAATGTTATTATTTATAAGTGTATATCAATCTCAAGTCCAAAACTTCTCTTAACTATATACAAAAACACACAAATTCAATGTAAAATTTCTATAAAAAAAAAATTTTTAAAAAAATAAATAAAAAAAAAAAAAAAAAATGTAAACATTTTTCTTTTCGTTAACTCTTAACTTGATCTCTCTCTTTCTTCGACATGAGAAATTTAAATACAAAATTGTAAATGCATTGTTTCCACTACCACCTAACTGTGTAGGATAATGTTTCTGAGCCTCTCCAATGTGAAAACACCTCTCAAATAAAGCATTTTTAGTTAATTTAAAGTGAAATGGTTTATTTGTAAAGAGTGTTTTTTATTACTTTAATGTAAAAAGAAAAAAAAAAAAAAAATTATTTTCGTTTTTCGGACACTAACTCGTTTACATTTGCAGCTACTTACCAACTTTTACTCTCTACCTATTGCTTAGCAATTTAAACTCAACGTCATCTTGTAAGCGATTTAAAATTCCTTGTTTCTTTGTACACTTAAAAAAAATTCATTTCCATTTTTCAAATTCTTTTCTTCATATCCACGTCCGCCAATAGAGCGAGGGTTAAAAGTTTTGCATATGAAATTCCATTTGAAAAGCAAAGAGATAAGTAATCATTGAAATTTTGTCAAAATCTTTCAATACTAGATTGCCGGATGTTGGGTATACGCCTATTTTGCCTCTAGCATCAAAATTCAGAATTTTCAAAAAAAAAAAATTAATAAATGTTAGTTTAAAGGGATTTATATTGGTGCACATGCCCGCAACATCATATGATGTCCTTAGTAGCCTTTTTGCATTTTTAGCGTAGATTAGGCGTCTGCCCGACGATTTTTTGCTATCGAAAAGAATGGGTCTAAGCATCTATATTAAATTTTATGCGAAAAATAAAAGTAAGTGTTCTAAGTCATATAAAGTGCTGATTGCGGCAGTGGGCCAGCCCGCTTTGAGCAAACGAAATATTTGTAACTGATACTATCTGTTCACAGGAGGCCTTCAAGCTATTAATGATGATGCCAGCCGATAGAAGCATTGAAACAGTTAAGAAAATTGTTTGGAAAATTGTTACTAAAGATGTCCACATGTCGGTTAGCTCATGCCATGCGATTTCTTCGAATGCTTTGACCATGACCAAGGTCATAGCTTGCTCGTATTTTTTGGGCGAAAAGCAACACCGCAATCACGCCTCAGTTACCGTATTCACCGGACTTGGTCACATGCGGCGTTTTCCTATTCCCAAGCTTTGGTACGATTAAGGCGACAAAGACCGTCTCGCTGAAAGACCTCAAATCTATACTAAAAATCGGAAAAAGAGAGATTACCGCTTCCATACATTCCATAGTTTTGTTAAAAGCCAATGAATGTTTTTAAAATAATTATTTTACTTTACCAATTAAGTCGCAAATGGGTGAAATTGACCAGCTCCCGCAATCTAGTGTTCTCTTCTCTCTTCTTTTTACTAAAAGTGAAATGTTGAACACAATGTTTGCGTTATGCGCCATGAAGAATGCACAAAATCAGTTGAACACACAGGAAAGTCGTAGAGTTACAAAAAATTAATCAGGTGAAAGCTTTCTTTGAAACAGACATTTTAATTAATAATTATTTTAAAGAAAAAGAAGGAAGAAATACTATTTTATTTGAAAACAATTTTATTTTTAATTTTCCTTCCATGTCGTTCCTTCCTGTTTCAATGACATTCGTTAAGTAAATCCAAAAAAAAAAAAAAAACACTGGTAAGGCTATAAAATTAATCATACGCCTACGTTTTGTTTTAACGACAACACCGTTTCGCTTGTCAAAAATCACGAAACCACAAATTTGAGAAGTTTACCAAAAATGTGCGCTTACGCACCATGCACGACGCAGCCGTTGTGTAGTGTACTTCAGATTACAACAAGTTTATCGTGTCTTCTTGAAAATGTGCTTCGAAACTCACAAATTTCAGAAGACCTTTCAATACGCTTCGAAAGAACATAAAAAAAAAATCAAGACTTTAAAATTTTCTTTTGACCTCACAACTCGGACAGCAAGAGAGCAATTTTGGAGAAAAAAAAGTTTTTAATGGCGAAACTTGGAGTACTAGAAACAAAAAGGATGTGCTTGATTCGAAGTCTTGAAATGCTATAAATATCGGACATCTCTTCCTTTTAGCAGATGAAACAAATCAAGATTCTTTTCAATTCAATTGATAGGTGAATTAGTGACTCTAATATTAGCCCAAATTGTTTTATTTTTCTGGTTTCGGCAATGAAAGACAAAATGTGAACTAATTTTTAATTTAATCACTTATTTATATTATCGGAAGATTTGAATATAAAAATTCGGTTTTTCCGCCATTAATACCCATACACTTGACTAATATCTTTTCTACGATTAATTCTTTATTTTATATATTAAGTGTTTGCAGAAGTTTTGATCATTTTTTCACAACATTTTACAATATTTTTGGCAGCAAGGCGATATCATGTTAAAAGAACTCTTACAGCGATCCACCGACCGACCTATTTTCAAACTTCTTCAACTTGGCGGAGCGCCGTGCCAGCCAAGCCATGCTGCAACGATCTGAGCAAGTGGTAATGCAAGTGAGTGCACTGGGTTTGGCCGAAGTCACTACTACTTAAACCATTGAAACCAAAACCGATAATCGGAATATAGTGGAGTAGTGTTCCCATAAACTTCTGAACGTGTTTAAAGGGTTTCGGCAGCAGATATCTTCAAATCAAACTACAATAAAAATGAATGTCGAAAATGCAATTTTGAGGGTTCGATCGTTAGCGTCGGCGTGCGATGAATAGATCAATGATATTGAATTCAAAACTGTTATTTTTTGTCGAGGAAGGTCAAAACTATCGAATTCAACCGTTGTGTATACTGCTATTCGCCATTTCTTTATCATTTTCACTTGTAGAAGTCGCTGATCAAAATTTTTGTAAACACCTCATATATTAGATATGTATAGACTAGATTTTTTCTTCTCAACTCCGCAAGACATCTATTGTTGATTTGTTGACTCATAGAAAAAGAAGAAGATAGATTTTAAACTAACTTTCAGTTTTTCTGCTTATCTGTTAGTAAAGTTCAAAGTTATTTTCGCTTCTCTATCAATTCTTTCTTTCTTCTTAACCGGCCACTTAGATATGTTATCGATACCTACGTACACAGGGTGTTGATCGGGAAAGATTATTGAAATTTCAAAATTTAAATACATTCTTGTAAAAAAAACAAACAAAGAAATCAATCTGATCATAATCGTTGAACGATCAACCTTTCCTCCAAAAAAGAACAGCACTCGATAAGCGCATGATTCTAAGTTGGCCTAGCTATGTTGGACCTTTTATTCTTTGCTAGCATCTCGCAGTGTTATTGGAAATACAACCTCGGTCGGCTTATTAACACGAAATTGGTTGACAACATATTCTGTAAATTTTATAAAATCTGTGATGAAGATCTCAGGCTTTAATTTTATAATTTCTTTTTTCCTTATTGAAACAGCCGTTTGGATATTTTTTAATACAGCCAGTGGCTCAAGTGATGTCCCCTATTCGCCTAGCACGGGAACAAGGGAAAGAGATATGAAGGTGTTGTTGATCTTAGCCTTGTGAGTGTATACCCAATCGGTAAGTGTCACCTCTTCGTCAACTAAACGCTCACTACAGCAACAACCAAATTGAATTTTATCGTATTAGGGATTCGAACCCGCGAACCCTGACTTGGTAATCACGATGCTTACCTACTTGACTACTCATGTTGTTAATTTGAAATTTTATGGATGACGGTAGCTTTCTTTATTGTAAAATGTTGACGACGATCTTAAGGCATTTGGCTTTACTTTTTCGTTGTGTGAACAAATATTGGCTATTTTGATTAGGGGTTCCTGCGTTGTTTACAACATCTTCATATTTATGGGCATAAAGAAAATTGTTTAAGTTATTAAAATATTTAACAGCGTTTTCCACACCAAATTGTTGAAAATTTACTTTATTGGAAACATAACTACAACATAAGAAGCGATTATTTGGGAATTATTGAACTGATAAATGCGTCCGCAAGGTCTGTGAATACATGTTAATCGAAATCTTTACCTTGGTGTGATCAACCGGCAACGTTTACTTAACGTTATACTGGCTGTGCCATAAAAAGCAAATCCTCTTCGAAGCTGTTCCGTCTATTCAACAACACGGAATCTGTTAAAAATCAAGTACATCAAAATGAAATAAATTTCACAAATTTTTTGTTTGTGGTGGGAAAGAAAACTTAAAGAGATATCAAATGGGCATGAAAAGACCAATGAAGCAAAGACGATATTCCATTGGGGGTTCGAATCAATACAATGAGCAGCTTGTGGCCACAGTCTGGGAGGCACTTAACAGATCGTTTAGCAGTGTTAAACCTTCACCACCCGAGTACTCACTATTTAGCTATAATCACACATTTGATTTTTCCTACTTATAAATTAGAAAAGAAGAAAACTATTTGCCCGAAATCGTACTTTTGCAGCACGGCAATGGGTAATTAAGAAATCTACTTCTCCAGTTTGCGCTACGATACTCAGAGAGTGTGAACCAGTAATAAAAAGCTGAATGTCCTTGGTGGC